GGAAATCTAAGAAGGCAATGAACTTCCTTGTCTCCGTATTGACCAACTGTGAAAAAACAGCAGCTGTGCAGCATGACCTCCTCTCACAAATGCCGCGGTGAGTCATTCATCCATGTATCTGTTAGTGTTATTCTTTAGACAACTTTCTATTAATTAGTTGGGAAAGGTGTCAGGCTTACTTCCAAAATTAAGACCACATACTGAAATCCAAAACTCCAAGGAATCCAGCAGCAAAAGTGAAGAGAAACAAGAAGGGAGGGAGGGGGAATATGTTGAAGCTTTTCAATTTAAATTAACTTATTGTTTAAATATATGTACAATTAATTTTCTAGACTGATATTAATAAACCTACAGTTTAAAAATACACATTGGTGTACACCGCAAGACAGTTTTGATTATGAATTTTGGCAGGCTTTAAGAATCTTCATACACCTCAATACTCCATACAAGAAACTACAAAAATCAGTTCAAAGTGGGAGGAACAGGATCTTGCTAAATTATAGTACTTCGGCTTTGCAGATTGTATTTATTAAATGCCTCCCTTTTCCCCTCCAGAAAAGGTCTTTTTTCACTTGCAGAGACTAATTATACTATGCCCACAAGTTACAATATTATTAAACTTGCAATACTGCACATGAAATACAGTTACAGATAATTAGAAAAGCCCTTTAGTAACACTCACTTAAATGCTGAAACCACTTCTAGAAAAAGCTCTCCACCACTGCAGCAATGCTCATTAGTTTTAAAATTAGCACAGAAGGCTTGGAGAGGAATAGCTCCTGGGTTGGGGGGCTGGTGGTTGGGTGCTGTGAAAAAAAATTGGCAAAATGGTGATCTACCCACACTAGGAGGGTAGATGGATAAAGTTCTATTTTAGCAAACATTGTTAACATTAATCTGAAACTTTAAAGTATTAAAAACTAGCAGCACTTATTCAGGCCCTACTTTCTACCAGGTATAGGCAGAGAATGATTAGTGCTCACAGCGGAAGTCATACCAGCGTAGAAGACATGCCGTGTTTTGCTGATGCACAGGTATGGTGCAAACAGGTGTTTAGCTATTCCAATTTACTTGATTAGTCTAGAAATAGTTGTACACTTCATGGAATTAAACTAGTAAGAACGCTACAGAGACAACAACTGATGACTTTTTGCTTCTGCCTTTTCAAATAGTTGTTATTGTAACTGAATGCTTTGTAGTCGGAGTAAACTATAAAAAACCCCCACAATAATGTTAGTTACTTGTCAAGACAACATGATAAAAGCTAAAGTAGCAAATAAAAAGGAAATAAAAACATTACATGGATGTGCTGAAAAGACTTTGAGATGGTCATAGGCAAGTATGTGGCTTTGGCTTGAGACAGAAATATTTCAGTTTACATATGTTTCAGCCTTTCTCTAAAAGTTAATTATTTTTAGTATGCACATGTGAGAGGAAGCAACTTCTGTTCATAACATGAATATGTCTACAGTCTACCAGTCTAAAGACTCCCTCAATTTATCAAATACGCCCTCCACACACTGCTCACAGAAAACCAGTAAGATCAAGGCAGGTCCTTGTCTTCCTAAGTTGGTTTCATGGCCTGGGTTTAGGACAATTAAAACGTCATTTCAAAGTTCATCAGGAAGTCCTCAGCTACAGAAGAGCTCTACTACTCTTAATTTGTATGAGGTGCTAAAGCAGGATGCTTTTCTTTCCCCCAAGGTCAAAACCACCAGTCGTCACTATCCTTTCCTCCATCATCACCAACCTTTTTCCCATCATCATCCCACTGGCTGTATTCCTTTTCCCCTAGCCTAACAATAGCGTCAGTATAGTTGCCAAATTCACGATGGTAGTGCCGAACAGTCACATCTATGTGTAATTACACTTCTTAAAAGACCATCTTATTTTTGTGCTTCAGAGAAACACATCATGACGGTTGTATCTTGCCTTCAAGACACAACTGTCATTATAATCTATCTACAAAATGCCTTATCATGCTAGCAAGGACTGAAACATTTATGCTTTCAAAATTAAGCTTAGAAGCAATATAATTTGAAAACAACTCTCCCCTTCTTTGTCAGGAGAGCTATACTGTCTGTAACCTATAGAACATTAAGCACCAGTGAGCCACAGCATTCGCTCTGTGCTGTTCCCCACAGTGAGGTACTTAAAAGTCTCTATCCCATAACAGACACCCCCAATATATGCAAAATACCATAACTGCACCAACTAATTCATAGGAGGGGAAGTGTTCAAAATTAAACAGCTGGCTAATGAAATATGCTGTATCTTACTGCTATTAAGACAATCTGAAACTTGTATTTTTGAAAAATTGAGACCTGGAAGCAAGAAAAGACCATCATGGCAAGTTGGAGACAGTTATGATGGATGACAGCGAACTGAACGTCTTACTTGATTTCTGAAGGTTGTGAGCAGATTTGTAGGACACGGAGCTGGAGGTAACCTATTCTCAACTAATTTAATTCAGAGTTACCTTAAAAGTGGTCAACCATTTGCAATTTTTTTTAAAATGAAGCCATTGCATTTTTTTTCTAAAAAATAAGAACCAGAAACAAAGATGATAAGGAAACTTGTTTGTCCTTTAATGAGGAAAAAGAGGTTCAACTATTTCACAAAAAAAAAAAAAAAAAAAAAGGCAAAACCATATCATACTTTTATTGCTTTATGAAAAAGAAGGCATTTGTTGAATTCAAACATGAAGGTTCAGATGAGATCTAATGACCTCTGGACACTACAGAAACAAGGATTTGTTTCCAAAAAAGAAAAGGAGATTATGGATTCAGGAAAGGGTAGCTTATGAGACAGAACTGCTTGCAGGTATGCTGCTCTTTAGTATTCTGTAAAGCAATTCAGCAGAAAGAGACCTTATACTTATTTTGATTTGCCACCGAGATCAATAAGAGTAAAGATGTTTCTAAGGAAATCTCCTCAGCAATAAGACCTTATACTAGATGACCATGATGAGAAAGTGATCTACATTTAGACTGATTCTGTAAATGGAGTTTTATTTTCAAATTCAACACTTGTCCTGTTTCACACTGAATAGTGCCTGCAGTGACTTATTCCTATGCAACGTCCACAGAACTCCTGTTTAAAAATTTCACAAGTCAATACATCTACAGCTTTTTCTGCAAATCCATGAAATATCAAGAACTCAAACCTCGTAGATTTTTATACCACTTCTGATTCCAAATGAAACTAAATTACGCATTTTAATTTGCAAGACATCATGTGCCATTTTGTTGTCCTCCAAAAAACCAAAGAAAACAGAATTGCCTTAAATAGTTCTTCAAATATGACATTAAATTGCACAACTATCAGTCATCTAAATGAAGATAATAAAAAATTTTAGTTTTCAAGAAAACAGAAGCCTGACGTAACCCTGAAGTTCACCCAAACTTCTTTGGTTTCAAGTACCCAATTCCTGTTTAAAGTCCAACAACTAACTACATAATAATTATCTAGTAACATTCTTGATGTTACCTTGGGTAGACAAGCAGTGGAGCAAGATCAATGTAGATGTTGTATTTTCAAAGTTACTTTTGTAATCACAACTGCTGTCTCTTAGCAACTTCCAAATACAGTTGAGGATTTGATAAGTGCTCTATTTAGACTGTATAAGGAACTGTTTCCACTTCAAACTATCTTTTCCAAACATTCAACAAAATAAGTACCTGTTAAAATCAAAATAATGTATTGATTTTGTCTCAGCTATAGAAATTAGTTAATTTTTCAGCTTTCACTTTGGAAAACAGAAGCTATTTGAATATAAAGATTGCTGTCAAATTCTTCATTTTTCTGTGTCCTGGTTTTGGCTGGGATAGAGTTAATTTTTTTCTTAGTAGCTGGTATAGTGCTGTGGTTTGGATTTAGTATGAGAATAATGTTGATAACACACTGATGTTTTAGTTGTTGCTAAGTAGAGTTTACACCAGTCAAGGACTTTTCAGCTTCCCATGTTCTGCCAGGTGCACAAGAAGCTGGGAGGGGGCACAGCCAGGACAGCTGACCCAGACTGGCCAAAGGGATATTGCATACCATATGACGTCACGCTCAGCATATAAACTGGAGGGCGTTGGCTGGGGAGCAGTGATCACTTCTCGGGGATGGGCTGGGCATCAGTCAGCAGGTGGTAAGCAATTGGGTTTTACTCCCCCCCCCATCCCACTGTGGGCGGGGAGGGAGAGTGAGCAGCTGTGTGGTGCTTAGTTGCCAGCTGGGGTTAAACCACAACATTCTGCAAAACTGAAGATGATGACAGTTCATATGACTGCTTTCGCACACTTCCTCAGAATGCCGCTGCTCTTCAGCTGTTATTTATCCAGCCCTATGTCCCACTTGGACACTGAAAAAGTCCTGCGTCATTACACTGGATTTCTGCAGTGTGCCTCTCCTACTAGAATGTTTCAGCCCCATATTTGTTCTACACTGATAACAACTTGAGTGTTATTTAAGCATCTCCTGTGCAACATTTAGAGATGCAAATAATGATTATATTCATTAAAGGAAAGCCTTATAAGGGAGCCTGACTGATACAGATTAATAAGTTTTTCTAAGGAACGGAAATAAATTCCTGAAAACCGTAGACAGCTTCAGCTATCTTCATGACTGTAGAGAGTATCTTTTGTTCCTTGTAAAGTATTTACCCCCCCCCCACCCCCCCCCCCCTTACAGTTTTTGTTTCCTCCTTATTGGATACAGTGTCAATGAGTTCCACTTCATAGGAAGAGTTTAAGGCGGGGCAATATTTAATGCAACAAAACTACATCTTTATCATGCAGCACTGACATGCTTCATTTATTCTCATTCAGAAGAGAATCTATAAAAGTCATAGAATGCATCACCTTCATTTACTGTTACTTTTTATACATAACATAAGCAAGAAACACCACGCTGCATGACAGAGGGTAGAAAGAACACGTTTATCATCTATAAGCTTTTCAGCTGATTTACTGTTTTATGCTAACATCACTAAAGCACAAAAATACACTCACCAAATAGATTGCTTGAATGTCCTTGCTTAGATATGGGTTTCAGTTCATTTAATCCCCATGCGTAATGCTTATAATTATCCCAGGCATGCTTCATCATCTGTAGGGAAACGAAAGCAGGATTGTAATGTTGATTTAGAAAAAAGCCACAGCAAATACTGAGTTGAGAATATTCTCAATATTAAACATATTTAATTCAATGCTTGATTAAATTCATGTTGTATGCGTTAGAACTATGAAATACTCAATATAGAATAACAGTAGCACTGTTTTCTGGGTGGCAGTGCGATGGTTACCATAAGAATTCCATATGTCTGTCCAATCCACCTCTACCGTTATCTGCATGCTCATGATCAAGACACACTCAAAAATAATTAACTTTGAGGACTGGAATTTATTGTGTTATATATCAATTCAAATAAGGTTTTAAAGAAGTTTTTTCTCCTAGAGCAGGAACTTTTAAGGTGAAAATTAAGCTCTCAGTAGTTTTCAGATTCTGGCAGAGACTTTCTTGCATAAAACTAGCTGGTTCAAACTCAGCGCGGCTAATAACAGAAGGAAGCTAAAGTGGGCGGGCAGAACACCTAGGAGAGGTTTTGAGGTTATTGTGATATAATCTATGACTATAAATGCTACTGTATGCATCTGTAGCTACTTTCACGTGTCATTTTGCACAAATAGCCGAGAACTTTTACAACTAAACATATCACTACAAAAACGTGTTTTGCATAAAAGAGATGCACCACAAACAAATACTGCTTTGGGGAAGCCAGCACAGCAGCTCTGCGGTAAGAGCAGAGGACATCCACATCGTAAATTGGGACAGCAGATTGACTCAAGGACACCTCGCACTCTCTACCACCACAATCAGCGAGACCTAGCCCAAACTGTCCTTTTCGGGGGTGGTCCAGGTGCACGGCCAGGAGCCCACCTCTTCCTCCCCAAGCACGCGGCAAAGACAATGCACACAGCTCTGCAGGCCTGGTGAAGAACCACTGCCACTCCAGCAGGTCCAACGCCTCCCTTTACCAACCGCCACCTTTAACGCCTGCACAGGAAGAGTTTTTCTTTAAGGGCCACCACAAGCAGCCTGACTTTACGTAACGAAGGAAAGATTTTGCCTCTGCGTTGTCCCTCCTCCCCTCTTCCACAAGTCAGAGCAGTGCTGGGAATGCCAGAGGTCATCCTCTAGACAAAAAGTGACAATTTCAGACCTTTTCAAAGATACTGCTTCAGGCTGTCAGCTGAAAACACTGCTCTGCCCTTGCTTTCAGACCTCTTCTTGAGGCCAGATGTGTCAAGGACAATTCTGTTAAATAACAGTTATAATCCTAAATTTAAAAGCAACAGCCTTGGGACTCGCCAATAATAGTAATCCTGTACTTTCTTCATTTCTCTTTCCTTTGCTCAAATCACAGAGAAATTATGTCAATTAAAAATCTGCATTAAGCCAGACTATAATAAATGACAACAGATTTTCTAGAGTACTGCTACATTTGTGAGAATAAATGTTTTTGCTATTTACAGAAGTACAAATGCGCCTCTATCCTGCAGGAAAATTCAGGGATGTTAATTTACTCTAGAGCCCTTACAGGCCCAGCTTCACAAATGCAAAATTTGGTATCTACATTTAATACATGACTATTTTCAACCAGATCGTTAGCCTGGTGCCAGATCTCAGCTGAAAGGCAACGAGCAAGAGGCTGTGTGGAATTGCTCTTTGGCCACGGATGGCACTGACGCCGGATGGCGGTAGCAGTGTCCCTTGCTCAACTTCATTGTGAAATGGCTTAGGAGCTCTCCAAGGACAGGGTATTTTGTCCCAACGCAGAACTGGTAAGAAGCAGCCAAGTGGTAGACTTCATGTCTATGGGGCATTTCCAATCCCTGGCTACAGGGATCAAGATCATATGAAACCAATCATTTGGCCACAGCATGTTTTCTAATTTACCAACTGAAGTTTTCCAGTAATTTTGCATATTATACAAGAAAGATTTATTTTGCCCTGCCCTCATGTGTCAGACCTGAAAGCTCAGCTTTAGATATTAAAACACAAATTCTCAAAGATTTCAGCAGGCTAAATCCTGCCCTGCACTGAACCTGACATTTGCTATGCTTTGCCAAAGCTTATTTTCTCATAAAATCACATCAGAATCTTTTAATTTGTTTAATCTTAATCTAGGAACACCACACAGAAGGGCTCATTTTTTTTTTTTTTTTAAATCAAAGTTGTAATTAAGCGGTCTGAATCAAAGTGCCTAAAGATGTGGTATTATAACAAAATTAAAATTGCACAAGCCAGTACTGCCATGGTCCTTCCCTTTCCCCCTCTTTTTTCACTCCTAGCACACCTGTGATCCTTCTCTTGTGTACGAGATGCAGTGCTCATCTATCCCCACACCAAGTCAGTTCAGGAAACAGAAACTTTTGCAAGTGAAATTTTTGTTTTGAGGGTCATTTTTGTCCTGTCTCATTCCCCAAGTCAGATTGCCACGAGTATCAGAGTTACCAAGCGGGAAAGGCAGGAACAGCTCCAAACCCAGTTCAGTTCAACCAAAACAGTCACAAAGCGCACAACACTACAAGATGTCCCATAGGTACTCAGTTGCCTTTCGTTTCTCCAACGGATTGACAATTTGATTGCATTGCATTGTAAATGCACGTGTGTGTTCTTAACTTCTGTTAAGAAGAACCACTCTGGTTAACTTATTGTTAGTCAACCCCTAGACAGTAAGACAGGAAGCTAACCCACACACTAGACACTAACTTCTAATAATAATTATTATTACATGTTAATGAACAACTCTTTTTTTTTTTGTTTTCCAAAATGTCCTCCCATTTTGCTGAGCCTAACCACTCAGGTACGTTTGTCTAACTGCTTCTTTGGAAATTATAATGTGCGAATCCAAAAAGCCAAGCAGACAAAACCATGAATTTGAAAAAAAAACACGAAACCTTAAGAAATACTTCAGTGGGAAAAAAACAACCAGAATCTACTGAGCAAAAGATTTAATTAATCTCTTTTGGCTAATCAAAGTTTTAATTTAAGACTCTTAGAGAAAGAGTCTAGAAAGTCTAGGTTTAGATAAAAACACCAAGCTTGGTAAGTAAGTTTCCTCCTATGAAAATGCACCTTTAGAACAACCTTGCTTTAGACATTTGGAGGTTTATGGACATAACATTGAAAGCAAAATGCACCTCCAAAAGCAGTCAGTGAGCCCTCTAGTGTTTCAAAAGGACAGGAGTTATTCCAACTAGACACAAATATGAACGGCTATTTAGCAAAAAGTTACTAGGACTCGGTGTTACTGTACTTACTGTGCAAATAGCCCAGAGATATGGTAGACTAAAAAATCCACCTTAAATCAACACTACCTCCTGGACAAGTGAGTTTGTGCTTCTAACCTAGCAAGAAGTCTCAATTTCTAGAATTCAGTACATCAGAAATACTCTACATGTTTTTCCCCCTGTGGAAACTACAAAACTGTAATAAGTTTCCCGCTAATGAATTTCCTATTTGTTAAAAGCTTTATTTTCTACATAAGAATGAGAAAGTTCTAAAATATTGAGTAGCAATTTGCATAGACCCAGCCCACTGATAATTAAGCCTTTGCTTAGGCAAAACTCCTAGCACTGGTAGTTCAGGAATTAATTTTAACAGTTTTTTAACAGAAATCCATCTCTCCTTGCAGTCTTCACCTTTCTGTTTGCATGAGACATCCCCAAATCAGTATCTCCAGATTTTTTTAATTCACAAAGGCCCTTCTGATCACATCTCTGACTAATTGTGCAAGTACTGTTGATCACTTGAGATGTCTAAATAAAGATCACAGTTACTGAGAACATCTGTATTTCAGCACATTATGGATCCTGTTAAAAAGAGAAATTCCTAATGATGAAGAGTCTAACAGCTTTTGACCAGATGATTCCAGATACTCTCAAACTAATAAAATTATTTCACCCGAGTGCTTTCAAATAATTCCTTATTAGTCCTCCAGGATGTCAATAGGCAGAGTTACATTTGCACAGACATATTCTTCAGTCCTTCTAGTTTTACTAAGATATGTTCATTGAACCTCAAACTCTAGAAGAGCCTGACAGCTCACTGGGAAGCCCCGTGGCTTAGCAAAGTCCATTCCCAATGGAGCTCTACCTCAGGTCACTCACAATCAGAAGCGGCAGCTGAAGGCTCGACTAGCTAGCACTGTCTCACTAGTAAGCTGGCTGCTTTTAAATCTTCAGAAAAAAACGGGGCACTGATTTTTTCTTATGAAGTCAGAAAATGCCAAAATACTACCCCACCTCTGTTGAAGAATAATGAAGTGTGCTATTGTAATTGGTATCAGCAATGTCACTTAGAAGAAAAAGGTGAAGGTCTGACATTATGCACAAAAGAACCTGTGCATTTCTTTAATTCTAAAGGAAGCATTTTGAAATATAATTTTAAAATCCTTCTCAACCCACTGAACATTAAACAAACAAACAAACAAAATAGATTTGTTCTCCAGAAGCAGAAACAAAGACCTTTTCTACAGCTATAATGCTAGCCAACCAAAAGATTATCAAAATGCACTCCCATTTGCTGGTGTTCTAGTTAGAGTGCTTTGGAAGATGGCAGTAACACAATGTCTACAGAGGGCACGTAAGCCACATGAAATGTGCAAAATACAGTTCTATTCAAACAGGAGTACCCAAGAGTTCAGGCACAAAATGTTGCCAGAAAACAAGAGTGATGCTGAATCAGCACAGTAATAGCGGTATTTAGATGCAAACTACTGCAGTACCAGGCGGAGTGAAAATAATAAGAACTTAATAAGTTTTATTTTTAACAGTTACATACAAGCTGGGGAGATGTCAAAGAAGATGTCAGGAAAAGAATTCAAGCACCTTCTAGAACTGGGATATTAAAGGGAAAAATATTTTATTGCATGGACTAGTACCATTCTGACCTTCAACAGAGCCGTATAAAGTATGCCAAGACAAGGAAGGAAGGCGGAAGACTAAGGTACTAGAAATCCAAGAAATGAAGAGAGAAGTTAAAAAAACAAAACAAAACAAAACAAAACGAAAACAAAACTCTGAAGAAAATGTAATCGTTTG